TGTATCAATCTACACATACTTTTAGAGGTCAACTGAAAGGTGTTACCAGAATGTGATGCTTAGGCACTTAGCAAGTCTTGAAGATGTGCAACAACAGTGATCCCACAACTTCTCTGGGCCCCACTCCCATGTTTGACTATCCTCACAGTATATTTTTTGGGGGGAGGTACGGTGGTATATGTACCACCATTTCCCATAAAGTAAAACATTAAAAGATATTTATCTGCTGTCCTATACTGCAAAAGATAAATGCAGTTTAGAACACCCAACAAAAGAAAAAATAATATGTTATTTACATCATGGTCCTTTTTTTGAAAGCTAAAAAGTTAAACATTCTTACAGAAATAAAGCTTTCTTATATCCCTCTTTGTAGCAAACTCTAAAGACCATGATTCTCTGGAAATTTTAAAACAATCTTCTTTAAAAGACTGCCTCTAGACATTACTGTGAATGCAAAATCAGAGCTTCTCAAAATGAACACTCTACTAGCTTTGAAAAATTCAGTGTCTGAAACAAACCAGACAATAGTTTTATCTTTCATCTCAAGAAAATGCAGGCATGGGTTGACATCCTTACGGACTTGGACTTTCCATCTCAGTATATTTCTACTCCTTCAAATTCAAAATTCAAGCTTCTGGGTTTTTTGGTGTAGTCCTCTTAAAATTATTCCTTAGTTACCCCAGTTTTTATGACTACTTAAATACTCACCAGAAAGGAAGACAAGGATAATAGAAAAAAGAATGGAAAGACAAAATTTTTTTAAAAAATCTTTAATTGCCCAGAGAATGATGTTGAAAGATAATGAACAAGAACTTAGAGCTCTCCTGCAACCTATGTCAGGTTAGAGAATTTGATAGGATGATTCACATGAATGTAATGCTACAATTCAAGAGATTTAACCTATTTAGAAGGAGCAAAAACAGAGAACAAATGGTACTGTGTGCCAAAAATGTCACTGTCTGTTTCTGAGTCACTGACAATAAAAAATCATGTCTTAATAAAGAAAGTACAAGTCAGGATACTAACTGGGGTTTGCTACAGATACGAAAGCTCACACAGCAAGGTGGTTAAGCACATATTGCTTCTTGATGGAAATAAAAGTTTCATTATCACAGTGGACATAACACAGAGTGAAATAACCTGGAGTCTTCATGCTGCTATTATCAGAACAGGCTCAAAGTTTCTAAAAATTGAGGACAATTTCTTATACTGAGAAATGTTAAATCCAAGCCAAGGGAATGCTATGTTCAACTTCATCCAGGCAGATAACAAGTATCCCACTGTTTCACAGAGAGCAAATACAGAACAAAGACCCTTCCTGCCCCTAGGTCTTAGAATCAAAAGACATATTCACAAACACATCTTTGCAAAACGACTTTAGCAGTCCCACCCCCTACCCATGCTGTCCCCTCAACTGACAGAACTGTTTGTAGCAATGCACAGAGAACCAGTTCAGGGAATCACATCTGAGTTAAACCAAAATAGGGATCTGAGTTAAAACTACCTTCCTTTCTTTCCTTTACTTCCCCCTCTTTTTTTTTTTTTTTTTTTTTTTTTTTTTTTTAGTACACTTTTAATTTATCAATTTTTACCTGGTACAGCTGAGGTGACAGAACTGGGATACAGCTGCTACCTAAAAACTTTTTAGCCTGATTTGCCAACATGGCCAAGAAACAAAGAGACAGCAAAAGAAGGACTCAAGCAGTGATCACTGTGGTAGGAAATAGTTTATGCTTCCAAAATTCAAACTCTGCTATTCCAAAATGCAAATATTTAAAACAAAGTATAAGGAAACTTCCACCATTTTTGACTTACTGATTAGCATGTATCAAATGCAAGTTTGCATAAATTGTAGCTTTGATTTTGATGGCTATGCTTGTTCTAAGCTATTCCTCCTAGGCTTGCATGTAGGCTATGTTAACACACTCCTGCAGTATTGGAGATACCAACATACATATACAGAATTCTCTTTTCATTCAGACTTTATTTCACAAGACTGAATAGTGTGTTTCAGTGGGGAGATACTGTTTCAGTACAATGATCATTATTCAAGACATACAGACTGTGTGCATGAGCACATCTTTCATCTCTCATTTCACCAAATTTTAATAATGCTTTTTTTTAATAGCTTTTTCAAAGAGGCTTCCTGTAAACCCATTTCTTCTTTGAAATACTTTCAGCTTTCCTTTTGACTGTGGTGCCTGTATTTATTAAAAGCTAGCCCAATTAACAATTTCCTTCTTGAGGTGGGTTTGTAACACACATTCTGTAAGAGGAATGAGATGTCCATTTGTTAGGAAAAAAACAATATGTTTTCAAGATTTGCTACACATTGTGCCTAAAAAATCAAGGAAGGATGCAAAGTTAGTTTACCATCTTCTCAAGTTAAACAAGGAGATTTAGATTTCCATGTATTGCATGTATGTATGCCAAATCCTGACAGCCACCCAAACACTAATTTCAAGGCTTTACAAAGCCTGGCCTGCAGAACTTCAAAAGAAACTATAAGTACCACATTATTTGTTAGGTTTGGTCTTCAACACAACACTGAAGACAAGCTGAAGTGTACCTGGCACTCTGACAACATGATCAATCAGAACTACTTTGTCCGTATTCTCAAACAAGTAGCTACTACGCCAAAAACCAAGATACAAAAGAATAAAACAGCTCCAAAGTACAATAAACCACCTCTCTTCATACACCTAAAATAGAACAATGAGGGGTCCACTATCCCTGTTCCTAAGATAAAGTATACCTCAGTCAAAGGATGACAAGAAACCAGAGAGACCACTTTTTGCCATGTCCCACCAGGAGCTTTCACTATACACTGCAAAAAGCTGATATAGTGAAGAAAGCTCTATGGGTCAGCATAATATGTCTATCCCACAATATTATATGTCCAGAGAATTGGAATTAAGTACTTTGAAAGATACCACAAATGGAAAATGGCACTTTATGGAGCTTGTAATTCAAGCAAATCCAAACTAGGTGTCTTGGGAAATAGGTCACAATTTCCAAAGCTATCTTCCTATTAAATTTCATACTTTTTACTTACATCCTGGAGCTGCTGTGGGGTACTTAAGAGTAATCAAGAATATTTTCAATACAATCAACACTCCCTCTCAAAAGAAAAAGAAAATTAGCCTAGACTTTATCTTGAAATTTATAGTAAAATTCCTTATTACCCACTGATAATTACCAACACTAATAAAAGCAGAAACTGATGGGCCTGACTTTAAATGCACAAGCGTCAAAAAACATAAGCACTGACATTACTAGTGCTTCAGGTAGGGACCTGCTTCCAGTCAACAGTGAAACTGGCTAACTTGCAGTGCCACTGACAATGTGTATAGCTAATTCTTATTGACAACGTGTACAGCTAATGCTTATTTTTATCATCATCTCTCTTTCTAGACATGCAATAAAGAAAATTCTTTCATTTGCCTGCCTGAATGTCCTGGTTTTGACTGGGTTAGTGTAGCTGTGGTTTGTATTCAGGATGAGAGGTACAGTGCTGTGTTTTGGATTTGGGATGAGAATAATGTTGTGGATGGTTTGGCTATTGTTAAGCAGCACTTACTCCAAGTCCGGAGTTTTCTGTGTCTCATGCTCTGCTAGTGAGTAGCTGCACAAAGAGCTGAGAGGGACCACAGCCAGGACAGGTGATATGAACTTGCCAAAGTAACATTCCACATCATAGAACATTGTGTCCAGTATATAAATTGGGGGAAGCTACCCAGAAGGGAGAATGGTGGCTCGTCAGGGATGGGCTAGATATTAGTCAGCAGATGGTATGCAACTGTACTGCATGTTACTTGTCTGTCTCGAGTTTTATTTCCCTTTCTCTCTCCTCTTCACTACAATTAATATAATTAGTAGCATTTTATTTTCTTTCAATTATTATACTCCTTTTATCTCAATGCACAAGTTTTACCTCTTTTTCTTAATTCACTCCCCATTCCAATGGGGCAGGGAGAAAAAGGAAGGGAGTGACTAACAGGCTATATGGTACTTAGTAGTCAACTGGGGTTAAATCACAACACAGAATAAACTGCTTGCTGATAGAAAAGTTTCTTAAATTAACAGCCATACCAAATATATTGATTCAGCTAATAGTGTTTTTGCCAAGACAATACTTATTTCACCTATGTATTTAAAATCAATACCTATAATAGCCAAAAGTCTATATAGCAAGCTTTACACAGATTGGTCTCCTCAATTTCTGCTGGCCAACAGAACCTGGAAGAATACAGAAAACACAACAGCAGAAACACCTAAAATTAGCCTGATAAAGTCTTACATGGTTTACCTTTCCTCTTTGGACACACACTCGACAGAATACAAACAGCAGTACCAGAGAGGTTCCATCCAGATGGAGGTCAATACTCTTCAAGAGATTGTAACAGGAATAAAGGCAGTGAAGACTTGACTAGACCACAGAGCAGGCCACCAGCCTCACCAGCAGTTATCACTACTAATTAACTCACTAGAAAGATTGCTCAGAAAAGTGGTTGAGAAATTTTCACCACAAAGTAGAAGGTGACTCAGGAGGCAGATTCATGATCTGCTGTAGTCTGTACGATACACTTACAGCCCTTCTCCTGCTTCCAGATTCTCCACTCAAGTTCTACATTATTTCTTATAGACTCATAAAAGCATTTGAGTTTTGGGATACCTTGTGGTTTATCTAGTTCAGTGACCTGCCATGGGCAGCATCACCTTTCACAAAACAAGTCTGCCCAAAACGTTTGTCTGGCCTTCCACATCCTGGGATGGGGCACCGACAGCTTCTCTGGACAATCTGCTCTCATGTCTCAGCATCCTTGCTGTAAAAAAATTTTTCCTAGTAGCTAATCTAAACTTGCCTTCTTTCAATTTAAAGCCGCTGCCCTGTGTCCTATCATTACTACTTATGGTGGCATTCATGTCAGTGAGCAAGCTAAAGCTATGAGAAGCATTGCCTATCTCTAGTTCTGTATCAGCTGGATCTGCTTCTTTACCTGGCTCACTGTGCAGCCAGTTGATTTTCCGCTTGGCTTGGAGAGAAGAGGCAGGAAGCAGAGAGAAGAGGTCCCCATTCCAGCAACAAGGATCTAATGTGAACAGGCTACGAAACTCCTTCCGGGGCACTTTTTTTAATGGAGTGGGTCTGCAGGTGAAGCTTTTCATCCCAGTCTGATTCATGAAAACGGTCAACCATAAAACAAAAATTGTTACCAAAACTAACATACTACTGAGTAACTGATAATGAGCTGAGCAGAAAGGTAAGGATGATATAAAAGCAAATCTTTTAACTTTCCAATAAAACTCGGTCATATTACAAGAACAGTGTAAGGAATGTTGTGAGTACTTAAATATTAAGTTCTCAAAGTCCACACAGCAAATAAAATGCTGGAAAATAACCATGAAAAATAACAAATTTAAGCCCATTAAATTGTACTCTGGGAATTCCACTCAGTACAAATCTGTGAAACTCATCTGGAGGATAAGTAGATATATGTACAACAATACCTGTGAAGAGGAAAAAAAAAAGTCCTTCTAAAGCACCAAACAAATTCACAGAGCAGTACTAAATTTCATAAGAGGATGTTTTCATGTCCATTGTTAACAAGTTTGTTTCAGTAAGCTTGTGGAAAAAAAAATTTAAAAGATATCTATTCATTCTTTGTATGTATGCTTTACTTCAAAGAATTCCAGTAATCTATTGTAAATCTAAAAAACTCCTCAGTTACAACAGCACATTATTCCCCAAAGGAACAGTGGGGCAGATTCAAAGTATCAGCAATAGAGTTGTATTCAGGACTTTTTCTACAGAGCCTGGAATGGGCAAAACCTCCAGAGTCAGTGCTGAGTCTTCAAGGGAAAAAAAAAAAAAATAAGGTTGTGAACTTAAAAGAAGAGATTCTAAAAGATAAATCCCCACTGAGTAATTATAAGCAGAAGCTCTCCCAAACATTTGCTAACTAGTACATAAAAGGCAATTCAGTAAAGACCATGGTCAAATCAACTTGCAGATTTAAATATAGTCATAATTGGCTACAATCACTGAAAAGGCAATCTCAAGAAGACAGACAAAATCCAGGCACTGGTGAGAAAACTCCCAATAATTAAAGGTATTTCACTAAGAGAGCAGTCTGAGTGTGCACTGTGCGTCTGAAATGACGATGCCCTTGACTGCCTCCAGCTGCTCAGGACTGTTGGCCTGCTGGAAGTTTTCATCTCATTCCTACGCCTACCCGCATCTGTTGACCTACTGCAGACAAAAAGAGTCAGGTCAGCTTAAACACAATAAATATTACACCTGTCTTAACCCACCATGTTCTGACAGAGGTGGGCTGGGGCGTGCCTAGACTAACACCAGTGGTGGTAGGCACATCAGACCTCCAGCTGACAAGCAGGCAGTAAGTACTGGCAGTGACTTCAGCAACAGCCATCACCTGGGGCTTTTATCTGGAGCTACCCTGTGAAGACCAATACTCTGGACAGAAAATAATGATTTTTTTTTTCTTTTTAAAGAAAGTTAAATAGTATCTAAAACACTCAGAACATCAGATGTAGTAAATTCTAAACCCAGAGGAGCATATAAAGGTATCCTTTTTGCATTTTCACATTGACTGCTCTCTGTGACACACCCCAAGCCACTATCCCCAGCTGTCAAAATTTTAGTTTCCCCTACACAAGAGCTTTTTCACTTTTTCCTACGTAATTACAAAATACCTAATTTTACATTCTTTAACCAAGATGCTATCATAAGACTGCTTTGCCATTTGTAATAGAACATGATGCTACTCTTTCACCCCCTGCCTCCTTAAAGATTCCAAGAAAATACTAAGGGTTACTAAAAGGACACTACCTTACTGCTGTATTATGGCTATTTCTTCTCCTTTGAAGGCAAATATTATTAACACGTCCCTCTTCAGTGTCACCAAAATGGTGGTCCATTACAATCAAAAGTATCCAGTTAGCTTTGTAATTGCTGTTGTTTTTATAACACTTTTTTTTGCCAGTGATGGTATGTCCTGAACAATGTCTGTTACCTGCTCATGCAAACTCAGTACTTTAGCCAAAAATTCATGCAAAAAAAAACAACTGTAAAGTGGAAAACACATTTTGTGACAAGCTGGCTTTGGCTTATGTGGTTCTGAGCAGCTTAGCTCATGCAACACCACAGTAAAAAGTTAGATATCTGGAAGGCAACCAGTTCAATATTTCTCAAAACCTTCAGTACTTAGCTTTGAAATAAAAGCAAAGGCTACAGTTCCTCAATAAGCTAAGAGAGTGGGTTTTGGAAAGGGAGTATAGATGTCCAATCTCTCCTGGTTTATAATTACAAATTTTGAGTTTTATCCCTGCCAAACCAAAACCAAGCAAAAGTAACAATTTAAATTGAAAAATCATTTCCCTGCATTTGGATAACTCAGAAATGGGAAGTATTGCATGCACCTTTCTAAGCTGTCACAACAACTACAAGAAACTTAAGTCTAAAGAGAAGTGTTCAATCCCACCTAATTAGAAGTGCAATACTTGGGATGAAAACTATCACTCAAACCCAGCTAAATCATAAAGTCAGAAGAATCACGCTTAAATGACTTATCATTTACGACTATACAGAAAGCTTGCATTAGGCAGCGGGAAAACTGGCAAGTCTCGTTTGGCAAAAGCAGCTGACAGCACCAAAACCTGTAGGGACACATTCCGAAAAGCAAAACCCTTCGATTTTATGTAGAAAAATGAAAATTGTAACTGTTATATTCCCTGTTTCTGGTTCGTGTGACAGCTGTGATAGCGGGAAAAGGCTGCGAAAGAGCGAGCAGCGTGGCGCGGCAGCGGGCACGGCGCAGCGCCGGGCAGAGCCGGGGGCCGGCCCGGGGCAGCGGCACGGCGGCCATCCCCCGCACCCGCGGTGACACCGGCCAACAGCCGTTCCTACGCCCGCTCCGCCAGCCCACGCGGCCGGCGCGGACGGACCGGGGACGGGCGCCGCTGCCCCGTCCGCTCCCGCCGCCGCTCTGGGCCTGCCGCAGGCACACGGGACGACCGCGGGGCTGCGGCCTCCATCCCGCTGCAGGGCTGGAGAGGCGGGCTGTCCCGAGGCCCGCGGGCTGTCCCGAGGCCCGCGGGCTGTCCCGAGGCCCGCGGGCTGTCCCGAGGCCCGCGGGCTGTCCCGAGGCCC